GTGTGTGTGTGTGTGTGTGTGTGTGTGTGTGTGTGTGTGTGTGTGTGGCATACCTGCATTTGATCATGTGTGTGTTTGTGTATAATGTGCATATCACGTCACTGCACATTCTTGTGTTGCCTTCCCGTGTGTGTTTGTTTGACTGTACTGGGAATGTGAGGGGTGTTTCTCTTTGCTTTTGTATGTGAATCATGTGGATAACAGGGTGTGTGTGTGTGTGTGTGTGTACGTGTGTACGTGTGTACGTGTGTACGCTTGTGTCATTGTAAACCTGCTGTTACCATACACACCTATAACGCTGTATCAACGAATGGCTTTTCATGAAACTCTTCTCCTCTCGTCACTCTGTGGCTTTAGTTGTTCTCAGCGTGTCGTTGTGGATGACTCACACTGACTGGAAGGAGTGAGATGGTTCAGAAATGTAGTCGTAAAAGTAGTGCACACAGTTGATTTAGTCTTGAGACAGTTTTTCTACTTATTTTTGACCTGGACTTGTCTTGGCTTTGAACAAGCATCCTCCTTTAACTGAAAAATGTAAACATACCTGTTAATTATCTTGAGACACCTCAAATTTAAACTTATATTTGGCTTCTGTTTGACTCTAAATAAAAAACATATTTTATAATATATATATATATATATACAGTATTATATAGTGGCATAGCTGTAGTTCAAGCTCGGTTGCCCTTATGGACAGATTTGATCAAAGTTGACTGAAGGCACGATCAACCCGCACATGTATTGTGTTCAGAATGATGACAATTGATTTTTTATTTTTTTTTTAATCTTTCTTTAGGTTACGTACTCTCCATCATGGGCCGTCGACGGACCCTCCCTAACATCAACTCGTCCGATTGGGGCGTCCGCATGCAGGCGGAGAGGCAGGCAGTCAACTTTGTGGTCCAAGGTAGGACGACCGACAGGTCTGTGACCGAAATATTACACTTCTAATGATCAGGAAGTGGCTGAGAGTCGACAGAAATGAGCTGTTTGTGGATAAAATCATTGTAAATCATTTGAACATACATCTCATCCATCGACTCCATTCATCCTCTGGACTCCAGCAGACGTGTGTGTGATTTTGTTTGTGTGTGCAGGTTCTGCTGCTGATCTCTGTAAGATGGCCATGATCAGAATCTTCAACCTGGTGTCCTCCTCCAGCTCGCTCTCTGCCAGGTACAACCTCTAAACGTGCCACTACTGACTGAAGACGCTCACATTACAAACACCGTCTCCTTCACTACAAAGTACACACTGGCTCTTCACACTGTAGTCCCTTCTGAAAACACACCGGCACAGTGCTGTCGTAAAGAGGAACTGACTGAGTCTGTCATGCCAGAGCACATGAACCACATTCACTGTTCTACCAGCCAACTCCATTTGTAGCGTTGAGTTTTCTCAAAGCATCGCTGCTGTTACACGGCAAACATTTAGCTCGAGTAAACACACTCGAAGCCAGGAGCCTAAATATACCAGAATTAAACGAGTGTGTTGGGAGAGCAGGATGCAAAGTACGGGAGGGACGAATGAAGATGCCACATTTTCAGTAGCAGTTAAAGGAATCGTCTCAGTGGTTGATGTGTTGTGTATCTCTGAATGTGTTTTGTAACTGCAGGCTGGTAGCACAGCTCCACGATGAGCTTCTGTACGAGGTGGAGGTCTCCCAGCTGGATCAGTTTGCAGGTCAATTTGCAACTTCCAATATTAGTTATAACTCGTATCAAAGACACTAATGTTCTGTACCTATGACGCCATGTAGTTGTACAGTGAAGAATACTGTATATTAAAAAAAAGTAAATTAGTTTTGGACGTTAAAGCTTGTTTTGCACTCATATAAGTCTGACTCATGATGGATACATTTATTATTTCACACATTCTTCTTGCTTGCTTACCTGTGCCTACATTACCCACAATGCATTGGCCATGGGCACTGCTATGATAATTCATACATGTTGTTTGGTGTGCAGGTCTGGTGAGGAGCACCATGGAGTCCCTTCAGCACATAGACCACCTAGGAGTCCATCTTCAGGTGTGTAAAGGGAACCAGAAGTTAAAGTGATTCAGTCGTATAATAGTGTCAGTTTTTTTATTTTATTTTTTTAAGATTTTCAAAATAATAGCTTTCATTTTAATTTGTGATTTTAAATCACCATCAGTTTTGTTGCTGCTCTTCTGTTCGGCAAGTTATGTGAGTGAAAATCAATGTAGGTCATTATGAACGACGCACTGACACCTTTCCCTATGTGTGCCTGTGCCTGTGTGTGTGCCTGTGTGTGTGCCTGTGTGTGTGCCTGTGCCTGTGCGTGTGCGTGTGTGTGTGCGTGTGTTTTACAGGTCCCCCTGAAGGTGGCGGTCTCCAGTGGCAAGTCTTGGGGATCCATGTCTGAGCTAAATATCCCCACAATGTCTCCTTCTCCCTCTCATTGAGTCCTCCCTCCCTCCCTTCCTTTCTCTCTCTCTACCCCCCCTTTCACCTCCTCTTTGTACTTTTCTTCCTCTGCTCTCTCTTTCTCCCTCTTGTTATCATCTTTCTGCCTCTTCTTACTCATTACCTTCTCATATTCTCTCTCTCTTTTTTTCTGCTCGGTCCATCTCTCTCACTCCCTCGTTCTCTTCGCTTGTCCTGCATCCTTATTGCCATGGAAACCAGGCAGCTGCAGCTTCCTTTTGCTTTCACTCCATCCGTATCCGAGGGCAACGGCAGGAGCCACAGTCTAGATCATTCTCCTCCTCCTCCTCCTCCTCCTCCTCCTCCTCCTCCTCCTTCGTTTTCACACTCTCCTGTTAAGACCAATGCTGTTTTCTCTGCCTTGTTTCTTGAGAAATTGAGAGCATGATATTTGTTGCATGATATATATATATACCTGTAATATGGTGTACTGTGTTCTTGAAAAACTTCATGTATTTATTGTCTTCCTGCTTTGTTCGTGCTGAATAAATCGTCTGTTACAGGAGCTTAAACCCACTGACCTTTCTCACCCACTTTATTAATCCTTAATCCTCAACAATATTTTTTAAAACTCAGGCGTATTTAGCAGATATTCTGGTACGTCAATGCCATAAAGTCGTGCTATTTTCAGGAACGCTTTCTCTAATAAGCATCACCTTTTTTCCATTCAGCTGATTGAAAGCAGATGATCTAATTTTGCTCAGCCGTGTGCATCCAGCAGCTCATCTTTCATCCGCTCCCTCGGCTCTACCCCACTCTCCCCTTTGTCTTGTTGGTGCCTCTGTCACACACACACATTCCACGAATGCTCGTACACAAGCAAACGCACATTTAAGAAACGCCCACCGCACACTCACAGCCACCGGCTTCCAGGCACACTGACTGAGTTTCCTCGTCTCTGGCAGCCGCAGCGACACTCTTCTGGCCCCTTTTATACTGTCCTCCAATTAAGACCCTTTAAGTCTGCAAAAAGGGTCTTTTAACAAAGCCTCACCCCCATTACCTATTTAAAATGTCATCTCATGCTGGCTGCTAATTTACGGAGTTGCCACCTTTTTAGGTTGGCACAAAGGTGGCATCTGTCCTGTCATGTATTTACATTCCTTTCTCTTTACAGTGGAGCAGACCTTCACCTTGCCTGTTGAACCCGCTGATGGGAATGCGAGTGGAGCTATTGTCACCAGGTCGCTGTGAGCAGTTCAGTGCCAGAGCGGATGGGACAGTGTTATGGAAATCTGCCCCTCTATTCTCTCATTGTTCCTGGTTTAAGGGTGCACGGCCGTCCCCCCTCTGAGAGGGGAGCGTAAGACTGTGCAAGAGGGGGCACTCTGCTCTTTTGGAGTGTATAGGTGTGGACGTAAAACCACGAATAAAGCAGTTTTTAATGCTTTTTAAACTCTTGTTTAGTTGTTTACTATACACAGGATGCTCACACTGCACTTTAGCTCCACCTCCAGCTTCTTTTTTATATATATTTTAGCCGTTAAAATGGTCAAGACTGATTGAGTTATCTTCTAGTTGACTAAACAAAATAAAAGCATGATGGAGAACGTGTGTTTGCCTTGAACATTGGTGTTGTTTTAAAGACGAATGAGCTCATGACTGAGTTGATTTGACTCTAATTACCCGTACCATTAACAGGAGCCGGTCCCTCCGAAGACTCCAGTTGTCAAGGGCAACAGCATGAGCTTCCCCTAGCTGCCATGGTGACCGTGAGATGTGTAAGTAGACTGTGATTGTCTCCTCAAATCTAATATTTATCTCAAGTTACCCGTGTGTGTGTGTGTGTGAGGGTGTGTGTGTGTGTATCCGTGTGTATCCCTTAGGAAGAAAGAAGTCAGTTTCCTGTTGCGACATATAAAAGCTTAAATGCATCATCATGTTTAATTGATAACAATATATGTACATCCATGTTTCAATCATCGTCATAATGCAGGAAACCCCATCTTTACATCAATACAGTGTACCAGGTGTTTGTCAGTATAAAAAGAAAGGGTTAATAATCGCGTAATAATAGTGATCCTGTCGTGGGAATACAGCAGTCTGTCTCAAAGGATTGGCAGAAAGGGAACTGAAAGCTAATAGAAAGCAGGTCGTCGCTGAGGCCGGACCAACAGACTCATTTTAAGTACCGTCACTAAATCTGCTACATCAGCATCGTGTCTTTAATTCGGACCCTGCGTTTCCTCTCTTTCTTTCACTGTAACCTCTCTTTCCCCCACTGCCTCTCCTTTACAAGCCTGAGGGCCTCTTTTCCCAAATTCCTCACCGTAGCCAAAGCACCCTTCTCCTAAACCCCCCCCCCCTAAATCCATCCATCTTATCCATCCATGTATCTATCAATCCCTCCTTCCATCCTCTATCATGACCTGCCTTGCCTCCCCACAGTGTGGCTGCATATCAACCCCCTGCTGTGCTTTGTGCGGGTCGGTTTCTTGGCAACAGACAACAGCCATGACAGGGCTCCAGGGCAGAGAGAGCAGCCTTTGCGTTAAAGCAGCTCGCTATAGCTCCATAGCTCAGTCCAGAGCCACTGGTACTCAAAGCTGGTGTGTGTGTGTGTGCTATATAAGCTAACAGCGCTGTTTTTAAGGCTCTCTTCTGGTGACTTGGAAGAGTTCAAGCAGACAGGCAGGACAAGGAAAGGCTGTGTCTGAACCCGTCAGAGTGGGACAGAGACACCGTGGAGGAGATGGCGCGCTACGTCGCCCTCTGAAAGCTGCAGCCTTTAGTCAGCGTGGGATCGTTATGAGGCAATACAGATGCAGACACCTGTACCGCTGTAGAATCTCTTTATTAGTGCTGTAAATATCTCTAAAATATATATTTTTTAAATATTTTAAATCCACAGTTTCTGTTACAAAAGGAGTAAAAATGACACCCCCCCCCCCCCCCCCCCCGAGGCTATTTACAGTAAAATATACTTTACAACTTTACAGTAAGTAACTTGCAGATTCAAAGAAAAGACTAGTGAGAAAAGTCAACGTGATTGAGAGTTGAGATTCTGGCAGCTGCGGCGTGTGTTTTTTTTTGATTGATTATTTTCACTTTGTACTGAAGCTGTAGTGCATGTCTCTGTGGTACGAGTTAACCGG